TTGCAGTGCGCTCCCCCCCTCCCCGCGTAAGCAATGACCCCCAGTGGGGGTTGAGATGGCTGAGTCCAGCTTAGGCTGGACTTCAGGGACGGATAGCAACACAGTAGCCAAGGGCTACCTGGAGCAGTGACCCAAACGTCTTGCTGATATGCAATTATGACTGTAAGTCAATCATCTTACTCTATAAATAGTGGACAGCCCAGGGCCCGTTGAACTCTCCTGCACGGCAGCAGACTGCATGGCAGGACCTCCCCGTCAGTAGGGCTGCCTCTCAAGGTTACTCCTCGAGGTTGAGAGATTCCTTGCCGCAACAGATCCTCAGTAAATGACTAATAGCATGCTAAACTTTGAGATCTTAACTAAGTGATATAAAGGATTAATTGCACATATATAATCCTTTAGACATAAACCTTTGACCAAGTCTGGGACTAGGATTGGATCCAGCCGCACCTAGACTCCTCTCTGAGAAGGAGTTTAGAAAGCAAGGGGGTTCTTTCTGAACCTCAACTCAATGGGAGGGTCTCCCTGACAGTTTTGTCTGACCCTGTTCTCTATGCAGTAAATAACTAAGTGTACCTCACCATCAAATCTTGTTAAACCACTGTCGCATTTACCATTGAACTTTAACTCACTGTTTTATAGCAGTGAAGTGTATTGTTGCTTCTCTCTTACGAGTGAAGTGCGGTCTCACTCCATGCGTGACAACACCCTGCCCAGAGGTGCAGGGCCCAGGGTCACAGCAGCAGCAGTCACACAAACACACCCTGGTCCCAGCATCTTTTCCAAGAGCTCACAAACACTATGTGGAATTTTCTGTGAAACCCTACCAAACTCGGGTGGGAGCTGGAGCTGCGCAGCCTGCTCCAAGGATGACAACTGGAGCTGAGGGAGGCAGCACAGCCACCCTCAATTTTGGTCACCACAGCTGCACAGAAGCACGGGCACCAGATTTGCCACTGCTCCCTCTCTGCACCTCAGAAGGCTGGCTGTCCTTCGTAGTGGCCACAGCTGCAGGCAGGGCTGCCCCCACCGGCACAGCCCTGCCTCCTTGCTCAGGTTCTCACTGAGAAGAGCTTGGGTTTAGAGGAACCCCAGTCCCCTACAGAAACCCAGGCTCCTCCGCTCCATCTTCCACAGTGTCTCTGGGTACTGAAAAACAGGTACCAGTACAGCTGTCGTGTTAGTCTGCAGGTTTATTGTGGAGTAGGTTTGCCTTAAAAGTACAGAAGAGAAAAAAAGCTGATCAAATTCCAGAGCAGCAGTGTACGTGTGCCTCTCTCCAGATGCACTATAAACCAGGCAGGCAATGCACAACCAATAAATATTCCAAACACAAGTCACAGGCTTTGGGCATTTCTGCTAAATCACTGCAGGGCAACATTTGTGACACTCCCCGCTCTCCCACTGCGGCAACGGTGGAATTTCATGGATATTGCCAAAATACTGATCATTGCACCCGGCAGATGAAACACTAATCCCCATCGCTGAGCACCACGGGAGCGTCCAGGCAGACACCAAGCACCACAGCAGTTAGGACTAGGCATAAAGGCCAGACAAGGCTGCAGCACAACAGTATGTTCAGAATCTGGACTGCTCACTCATACACAGAAAAAGCTCCATGAAGTCACTGTTAGCAAGAAACCTGTTTTTTAAAATCATGGGTTACCCAAGGTGTGACTGAAGTTACTGTAGTGTTTTTTTTTCATTTAAGATGCTCTGCTGTGGTTTACACATTGGAAGCAAACTGCCATGACAGATTTTGTAAGCCCAAACAGGCCTCACTTTCCATTTCAGTGCTTGTTTACTGCTGAAACTGGCCTTTATTTCTGCTAGATATCCCATCACAGTAAAAAAATACTTGCTTTTTTCCCCTCCGCCTACCCGTTTGTTTGTTCACAGTCTAACATTGTTTCCAGTCTTTTGCTGTGATCTGCATCAAAGTGCCTTATCATGCAATTCTTGACTACAGAATGAGGACAAACACAGAGTTTGACATACCTATACACAAATAATTAATCCTGCAGGTGTGTATTTGCTGTAAGAAAGTAGCTTAATTCAACAAAATCATCTCCAGGATCTGGGCTGCTTTAAAACCGATTTCTGTGCAGCAGGTTAGAATTCCTGAGGTCAGCTGTGAGAATCTTTCACTTTAAGGAGGAAAGTTTGAGTGAGCTGCATTAAGACTAACAACAGCTTTCTTTTGCCTCTCAAGCACGTTTTCCTAAGGTCCTTCAGAAACTAGGTCAGAAGACCTTACGTCTTCCCTCAAAAAAGGAAAACATGCCCTGGGGACTTCTAAGAAGTTTTCTTTGTGTTAATAGCCTAAAGAACTAAAAAATGCAACAAGTGAAAGCAGCGTCAAGTTATTAATGATTTCTATTACGTTTAGAGGTTTCTGCAGATGCTACTCGTTTAAAAGATGTCAGTGTTTTGAATAAAAGCTCATCCTTAAATTCTGGGGCATCTGGTATCACAACTAGTCAAGCACCAGAGAGTAAGCTTTGCAGAATAATTAGATCAGGGAGAAAAATGAACGCCCGCTAAATATCATAAAGGAATAAAAAGGGCATATACAAATTTTTAGCCATCTGCAGACAGAGACGGATTTTAAATTCCATTTCAAAGCAGAAAATGATCCTTTCAGCGAAGACCATTCAACAATAAATGTGAAAAGTGGCTGGTTTGAGAAGACACTGATACTAGTCATTCCCATTTTAGACATTTTTCATCCACGTTACATGGCACACAGCTACAATTACCCAAATGTTAACAGAAGCAGCAGGGTTACTACAGAGAAGTTTTAGTTAAAAATACACATTTTATTTCAATGTGCCAATAAAAAAGTCCCACATTTTCATATCACAGGAAGTTAATTCATACAATAAAAAGAGACCTGTGCTAGTCTATTGGTGTGACTCACTCAGAAGACCCAGATCATGCCAAATTTTAGTTGATATACTCTTCTATCTACATTCTTACATTTACAAAGACACCACAAAATCCCTTATAATAATGTAAGCAAAATAATCTTCTTCCTAAAAGATTAACTTCATAACTTTAATCCATTCTTTCAGGACTTGCACTTCTTTGAGGGCTTCCTGATGGTGAACGACTGAAAGGAAAAGAGTCCACAGTTAACATTTCAGTAGTCATTTGGGATTCACAAATACAGGAAAAAGCAACAGGAAGATACCTAGACTACTCTGGCACCCTTTAAGCACCGTTTTTTAATAAAATAACCAATCACTATTGACAAAGTTAATGGGTTGATGATTTAATGTTAGAGATAATACTTTTTTTTTTTTACTTTCACATTTTTGCATTTCTCTACTGTTATTTTTACAATACCATTTAAATGTGATCATTGTAAAGTCATCTGAAAGGGTACTACTAATAGCGACCTTCATGGAGGCAGGATACTTCTTCACTGTTCTCATACAGCAGCTTTATGGTGATCACTCAGCATTTATGAGCATTTATTCAAGTCCCTTGTGATTGTGAGTTTAGACTACATACAGCCACGTTTTTAAATGAAGCAAACCCAAGTGTAGAAGTTCCATAAACATGTAAAAAAAAAAACCCCAAACAAAAACCACAACTTGCAGGGCAGAAAGATCACCAAGGCAAGGGACACATCGTGGCAGGTCTACAGGTATTCTTACTAGGATATATCCCCTCTCCACAAATCCTAAACACTGAAGTTGTAAAAATGAACTATTAAAGAATTCAAACTAGGGAAAAAATGCTGCTGATTCTGTCGCTACACATATATGCATACACAAACACAGATAATTATTTACCAACTTATTGGGGAAAAAAATAATCTGAGTAACAGCAGTAAAAATAACAGGCTCAATCTTCCATTCCTGACTGCTATGCCAGGCTACTCCACTCTATCTTCCCCAATCTCACTGTAGCTTTTAATGAGACTCAAAGCCGATTCCCACATTTATTCTGTGCTTTAAGCTCACCAGTAGAACATTTCTGTGCAATACAACTGTTTGTGAACTGAAATGAACGTAGGAGCAGACAAAGGCAAGATGTAACACTGCTACGTAACCAGTAACCCGAGGAATTATTACCACATATATATTACCATATATAAAACCACAATCACAACATCATTTCTGTCGAAGAGATCTCGGCAAAATACCTTTCCAGTATTTTCCTACAAGCAGCAGTCAAACTCCTCAGCAGAGATCACTGCAGATACTAAAATACCAGCTCTACGGAGTCTATGTTATTAGTAGGGAGATCAACATACCTTCTCTTTGGAGATGGTGATCGGGACTTTGACCGACTGTCAAAACAGAAGATCATCAATGCAGCTTACAGGTCAAATGGAACTTTTATATTAAAAAAAATAAGCATCTTAAACAGCAATTTAATTATTATGGGAATCTAGCCAGAAGCTCTTTAATACGGCCAAGTTTTCAAATCAACTTTTACTGTGACAGGGATTCTCAATTCACTTAGTGTGGAGAGGAATTTTAAGCAACTGTCTTCAGTAGAGAAAACAGAAAAACAAGGGGTAGTACTGAGGTGAGGCTTTGAGAAAAGAAACTTCACCACAGATTCCTGCTGTTTTATTGACAGCGTTAATAAAGCTGAAGCCCTTTATCTGACGGATAGAAAAATTTAACAGAACTGAGCACAAAGACACAAAAAAATCAGTACTAGGTTGGAAACTACGAAGAGTTAATGAAAACAAAGAGATGGGTAGGGAACATATTCGAAATAGCTGCAGAGGGAATTTTACAATCTCTGTCATATCGCAGACAGATTAGCTGGGCACCCATGTTTGGGGGATTTTTTTCTAAAGGACCAGGCTCTGTTAATCAATGCAAACCTAATACTGCATTCTAGATACTACTGCAGGCTTTATCTCTGTATGCTTACCTCTTAGCCGGCGAGCCAGATTTTGATCTGCCGTGAGACCTAGACCTACAAGAAAAAACACAGCTCAGCAGGGAAGCTGGTAGCGTGCATCTTCCCACATTTGAGACAGCAAGATTCACACTGAATGAATAAGAACTGTCATGTTGAATAGACAGAATCCTGCAAGTTTCCAGGGCTTTTCCTGCTAAGTTTCAGAAGAAAGCTTTTTAAATGGATGCTGCACATGTTGCTCTGTACTTTGGTCCCGGGCTGATGACTGGTGTTTGCTTATGCAGGTGGCAGGAATACATGAACAACCCAAATCCTGACCAGTATTTTCACAAAGCTAATAAGAAGCCATGCTCTAAACTTGGAAGTTTTATTAGGCTTGAGTGACATCTACCACTATAGTTGAAACTGGCTGAAGGCAGCATGCTCCTACAAATATCTTCTCCTCAGTCCACTTCATCTCATCTATGCACTTGCTCAAAATATTTTTTAAAATCTGTCTGAACTTAACTCTTGTGAAAAGACTGTCAAAAATGTCAGTCTTTGAGATAAGACTGCTGCACCGTAAGAACACTAATACTGCCTACAAGAATAACTGGAATTTTTAGGTTCCCAAAGGAAGTGTTCTACTTTCCACATCGAAGGCTTTCCACAACAACTTCCAGATGTACACTTTGACACTGTCAAACCAGCAAACATCATGTAATACTTATTCAGTCTGTCTTCCTTATGAATCAAGAGCCTGTCACTGGGTGCTATGCATTCCTTCGATTCTTCTGTAAAGAAATCATCTTTCAATTGCCTCATGTGGAAGTTTAACAGTGACTTCATTAGAGTTAAGCACCAATATTTTGTTCTCTGTACTTGTACGTCTGCCATTTCGTCTGCCTCAAGTCACTTAATCTCTACTTACATGAAAGGTGTCACACAATAGTCTAGAAATTTCACTATAAGCATCCTTTACGCTGCAGAAAACCATTCTGGTACTATAAAAAGAAAACAATGGTGGTAAAATCAAGATGTTTTTCTCTTTTGAGAGCCCGTTGACTGTAGCTGGTTTTTGCTCATCACTGACAGTGAACAGTGATGAGCCATGATTAAGTCACATTGGAACAACTGGTATTAAGATTCAACATATTTTAGCAACAGGTAGAGAAAGAGTACCCGATCAGGGAAAGGCATTGATCTACTGCCTCAGGGAATTTCCCTTCTCTTTTGTGCGAGTTTCTGCTCTTAACTAAGCCATCCTCTGGTCTTCATCTCTCCATTCCCTAAAAACTCGTGTCATTGCTTGCTGTTCCACTCTCAGAAAATGCTGCCACCACCGAAATTTCACCACTGAATCTCCCATCTTCAGCTGTAGGCTTGTCTTGGTTTCAGCTGGGATAGTTAGTTTTCTTCCTAGTAGCTGGTACAGTGCTGTGTTTTGGATTTAGGGTGAGAACAAATGTTGATAACACACTGATGTTTTAGTAGTTGCTAAGCAGTGCTTACACCAGTCAAGGACTTTTCAGCTTCCCATGCTCTACCGACTGAGAAGGCTGGAGGTGCACAAGAAGCTGGGAGGGGGCACAGCCAGGACAGCTGACCCAAACTGGCCAAAGGGACATTCCATACCATGTGACGTCATGCGCAGTACATAAACTGGGGGAAAGCTGGCCGGGGGGGCCGCTGCTCGGGGACGGGCTGGGCATCGGTCGGCGGGT